ATGGATTTTTTAAATTTTTTGTTTACACAATCAAAATTATTAAACGCAATCAATTATTTTAATTATTAATATTGTTCTTTTTTGTTTACCACAATCACAAATGGTAAAACCGACATCTTTTTCGTGATCATCATATTATTAGAATTAGAAAAATAGAAATATTATATAAAATCATTTAAATAATTGATTATAATTTATAACCATTGAATAAAAAACATCGACTATTGAGTAATAATGTTCGAACTTGAAATCAAAGAGTAGGTACCTATAATATAAACTCCAAGTAGGTAGTCGTTTCAGCACGACGGAGTGAATTTAATGATGTCGATTAAGACCACGGTTTGTCATGTTACACATTTGAAAATCGCTTATAATGTCAGTACCACCACCCCTTGTACCGTTCCACACACTAATTCTCATTTCTAAATTCCAACGCAATTACTTTTATACTGTAAACTGTAATAGCCTCATGTACTAAGTAGGAAAGAAAATTGGAATCGCTTACATACACCGTACACGGCGTACACGTCATATTTCTCATGTTTATAGAAAATGCATTGTTGACCTGAACGTTCACGTAATGGTGGTTCGGGGGACATTTTACCGAGTATTCTCGGCTTGCAATCGTTCGACGGCCGAAACGTGCGAAACAAACGATGTTATTTTTAGATTACCAACAAATAACATTATAATATTATACACCAATAAAACTAATAAAAGTATAATATCATCAACAATATCAATATGTAACAATATATACCTACTTGATCATGACTTAAATTTTAATTCGATCATTTAAAAGTATACCCATAAGGCCATAACGTTTTACAACTTAAATAGTAAGAAACGCTTACACTGCTTAAATATTGTAGGTACGCCACGCCGCTGTACACACAGTATAATTCATATTCATTTTACGGTTTTTGATATTGTCACGAGTTGTTGAAGTAATATTTTACTGTTAGTAGTACACAGTAGGTAGTAGGTATCTACTACAATAGATTGAAATAATTTTTTCCGAAAATATTATTGAGTTTTAAAACGTTTAATAATATATGTAAAAATTGTATATACCCACCATTAATGTTTTTGAATTACAACAAAACAATGAATATCATTATTCATAGTTTAAATATGTAATTTTATCCAAATTTCAACTAAAAATTCCTATAAGAAAAAATTATACTTTCAAATTTTTCAAATATTTTGGTTTTAGCATCTTTCTGTAATTTTGAAAAAATGTTGTCAAATTTGGACTTCAAATACTTTTAAAAACAAATTGTGCCTGTGTAATATGTATTTTAAATATTTTTACATATCTGTAAGAACATAATATGTGATAGTGACGTTTTGTATGAAATTTTCAAGCATTTTTACACAGTAAATAATTATTTGTTGATTTTTTATAAAAAAAAAAACTGAAAAAAAATGGAAAATTTTAAATGTCTATAAATAACTGAAAAATAGCACAAGTATTTTGAAAATTTTATCAAGTATAAAAATTAAACTTTCTGATAGATTTAATTTTTTTCCTACAGTTGAATAATTGTTAAAGAATTTTTTATTCAATTTTCAAATCATAGACAAAAAAAAAATTTTATAAATTTCCAACCACAAAATGATTTCAAAAAGTCGAGATTTTAAAAATTTTGTTAAAATTCTAAATTTAATGGCTTATAAAAAAAAAAATTGCGAATATGTACTTTCAAGTTTGTTAGTTCACATAAAAATAACTCGTGGAAATCTTGTATTAAATTTTTGAACAATTTTACCCAGCAAATAAATTTTTATCAACGTTTAAAAAAAATAAACTAAAATAATTTGAAATTTTCAAATATCTATAATAATAACTTAAAAAGAGTCAAAGTATTTCTAAAATTATATAAATCCATAGAAAATATATAAATATCTGGTGAACATTTTAAATATCTGCGGTTTTTCGTTTTCGAATAACATTGGTAAAAAAAAAAACCAATTAGATTTTATTAAAAACTGAATTTGCATAAAATTCTCATTTTTCCTAAATTTCTTGTCTGTTTTTCAATTAAGTACTAAAATACTGGTAATTTGTAAACTACAAACAAGATCTAATTTGTTGTCTAAAGAGTGAAGATTGAAACAACCTTCAAAATTGAAAATCGATGCATTTGTTTGAGGTTATTTTGTACTAATCCGATGGATATGACACTGGCCCATTATACAAATGTATTGTAACACAATCGCCAAGTTCGCCCCCAAGGACAACCCATACGTATACCCTGCTGACCCTATTATTTTTTTTTAAGGTTCTTTCTTCAACAGGCCTCACACATTCGATTCCCAGTCCTGACCTCATGTCGTTTACTCGTAAGGTAGGTGCTTCTTATAACTAGATTTTCGTTAGACTTGCTACATTTCTCTATTTATTATCATTCAATACACAGTTCTTCTAGAATCTACTCATAAATTAATTTAAGCATTCTTCTTTTTAAATAAGATTCCGTAAAATAAATTTGAATAAATATAATATTCTTGAGATAGACCTTTTACCCAGAATAGTGTTGTGGTTCATAGTTAACATGGTAAAGAAAGACGGTAGTCGGAAATATTGTTGAAAATAAATAAAATACAATAACGGCAGCGTCATCTAGTGCCGAAATCGAGTAAGTAACGGTCGCAATGGTTCTTAATTTTTTCAACACAAATAGTTAAAATTAAAAATGTCGACAAAAAAATACTAATAGGTTCTATTATTGTTCTGACAGCTAAGCCTAAAAGCCAAATAATTAGTTTAATTTAGAAAATAATTCCGTCTGTGGCTCTGTGCATGCGAGTAATGCGGTTGTCTGTGCGTTGTGTCGCATCGTGAGACTCCAATGCTAAACCTTCTTCTTCGATTTTAAACACATTTTTTTACATCGCTGAATCGGTAAATTAAAAACTTATAAGTTGACAACTACAAAGATATCAAAAAAACTTTAGTTTACGTAAAAGCAAAAAAAATCTATCAAATCGATAATTCAATGATTAGTACCTACACGGTGTTGAATACCTCAAGAAGTCGACGATTGCTCATAGACGTTTGTTGTCTTACGACTAAATGACTCCGCCATTGTCGTCAAACTCGTGCAAAACAGAAAAAGGAAAATCTATGAATAAAACTTCAGGTTATCACAAACCAAATACATTTAGCAGCAATCGTATACAAAGCGTGTTAATAGTGACATACCTATTCAATTCATCCACTGAAATGGAAGGCTCAATACCAGGAAACCTTCAAACAAGTCTTAAATAAAATGTTATCGTGATCTTAACTCTTAATCATATTTTAAATTAAAAAAATTATATACATTATATACATATAATAAATTAAATAAGATTTAAAGTGTAGCCGTTGGGCTACTCTTTTTATCAAGTATTAATATTTTTTTTATACGAGTAGCACATATTCTTATTGTAAAATTATTTAACAGATTGATTTCAAATAGAAAATAAAAAACATAAAAAAAGTTTAGAAAATACAATAAATTAAGTTATGACTCATGGCCATAGAGAAGTATTCAATTTAAAATTTAAAGTTTACTAGAAATCAACTTTTATTTATTTTTAATTAATTTTTTTAGTTCAATATAATTAACATTATAAATTTGAATATTTTTTAAATAGTTTTATCTAATAAGTATCTATCTAACAATTAATAATTAACTGAATTTGATCAAAAATTTAATAAAATATGGTTTGAAATTATAAGCTACTTCAAACCTTATTCTCAAAAAAAACACTTATCAATAATATTTTTCTCCTATATTCAATATTATTATAGTGTGGTACAATAAAATTATTTTGCATTTTTTACCTTTATACCTACAGAATATACACCAAAAATGCACATAAATAATATTTTACATTGTTGACTTGAATTATTATGCTTTAAAAATTTGCCTATAGTATAGTACCCATAAATATTATATTTCTACGACATTGTAATTGTTTAATATAAAATTAATTATACTTAAGTTTGTTATATGTACATACTAATTGCACATTATTATAAACAGTCTAGCACTTCAATATATCTATAATAAAAGGTAAGAAGTATGCATATTATAGGTAATATAATAAAACATAATATATAGATACATTCGTACATTTCATGTATACGTTATTAATAATACTAAATACTAGTAGTATAAGTAAATCGTTATAAGCATTTTAATTTATAAATTATATCGTAAATTTCTTTTAAACCAAAAATATAAAAATATAAAATATTTGTTTTACACAATAATGTGGTTTTTAGCAAATAAAAAGATAAAAAATAGAAAATTGTATTACACTTAATGTATATACTTAAATAAAAAAAATATATATACGAACATTACTCCTTATAGATATATATTTTTTCCTGAATAGTTGTTTACTGATACAACTTAACAATCACGATATAAAAACATACAAACAAAAACTATTTAGAGCAAATTTTGAGTTTTTGTAAAAATAAAACATTTTAAATTATTCATATTAGATATATTACCACTGAAAATAAGTAATTTATTTATAAATAATCAAACAACTTAAATAAAATAATTTTAAGGAAAAGTCTTTGTCTTTAATTAATTATTAATAATACAAGGTTCCTATTTCATAAATATGAACATTGATTTATTATAAAGGTTTAGATTTTTGTACAATGTTAAAAACAATTAGATAACTTAAAAAATAAAATATCCCAACTTTATAACGTTAAACACAACAAATATTTACATATAATATTTATGATCTTAAATTTAATATTTAAAAAAAAAAAATTAAAACAAAAAATAATTTTGAATATTTTAGTTTGAACAAATCTTTGAAAATGATTTATAATTGGGTGTATTTTTTAAAATTAGAACAAAACAAAGGGATTTAATACATAAATATTTTGCGATTTATGTATTTTATTGATAAATACTTAAAACAAGAATTTGCATAACTTTTTATAATAAAACCAGTTAATCCAATTATAATTGAATAACTGTATAATTTAGTTTTAAATGATGATAATATTATTAAACAAACATTACTTAATATAACTTTAATTTATTTGCTTAACAAACTCTTCAATATATTCCAACATACCCGACATAGTTGTACCTAACTCGCTGGATTGGTTATTAATAACGTGCAATGTCTTGATATTGTCTTTTGTTGTGATTTGTAAGCAATTAAATTTTTCAAACGCCAAAAACGAATGTTTTATGGTATCAACAGAAATACTTTCACCTGTAAACATTTTTTTTATAGAAATAAATAATTTAATAGGAAACAAGTGGGTGTGCCTATTTTTACACAATGATGATTTAATCTAAATTTGACAAAAAAAAAAAAATACCATAAGACAAAATTCCTTCTTCCAAATTCTCATGCATTTGATATAAAATTGTTTGTATATGTTCACTTTCTGTCACTGAATTTTCTGGTAAAACAAGAAAACTTCCAGCACTTTCAGCCATGCATTCTAAGTATGGCATCATAACTGATCGATAAAACTTTAATTTATTTAAACTGTCTATATTAGTGTTAACCTAAAAATGATAACAATTAAAACATACTAAAAAAAAACACATTTAATATAAAAGAGATTATGATAGAAAAAAGGATGCAAGTTCTACAAAATAGTCAATAAAAAAAAACTTACACGATATTTAACATCAATTCTAGCATATGACTGCTGATAATCATCATCATCGGAATCACAATTTAATAGTTTTGCCATATTTCGGCTAAGTCTTTCTTCTTCAAACGTCTTTAAATTAAATAAATATTTTTATAGTAAAATACTCAAATTTACTACAATTGGTTAAATAGAATTAATAATCAATTTCAAAAATACCTGGTCTACCAATATAATTTCTTCTTCCTCAAATTGTCTAATCACTGTATCCACAATGTTATTTATATTATCACAAGGTTTAATAAAAACAAAATCGAATTGTAATAAATCGATAATAAATAATACATCTTCAACCAAGTATTCTCTTAAAATTGTTGTTTCTGTTATACTTGTGTTCCATAACTCCAGATTAATTAGTTTACATATTGTAAGAGCTATAAAAAATTTAACTAAGATTAATCCATAATAAAAATAATAAATAAATATAAAATACCAATCACAAAATATTACATGAATACAATATTTAAATCATTGGCGTACTGACGAGAGAGGGTGGTTAACCTTAAGTAAATCATGTATAATGATTTCTTGTATAGAATATTACAATTAACAAAGGTTTTTTATCCACATATATGTATATAAATGGTAACCCCCCTCCTCCATAAACAAATTCTGTGTATACCACTGATGTAAATAACATGTATGTCAAATAATATTTATAATAAATATTATATTTAATACTAACCAACTATTGATTGATGCATAAAATGGGAAATAAGATTATTTGCGTAATATGACAGTTCTATTAAGACTGGTACATCAAGAATTGGTTTAACAAAACGGCCCTTATCAGTATTTTCATATACAACTAATTTTGGCCCTAAAAGATCAAGCTAAAAAAACAACAAATTTGTAAAATATTTAATTACTTAGTTATCATCTAACACGCACTGCATGTTTAATAACTTCTATTGACTTTCCACTGAAACCAATATCTCTATCTCTTTGAGACAATTTATTACGCAAGATCAATAAATCCTTAGCCAATTGTTCTAAAGTAGTACCATTCCTATGCTTATTCAAAAGTAAAAAGCACACTGCATGTGTTGACATAATAGGAGTTGATTTCCAACAATCTAAAAAATACTACATTTCTTTAATATGAAAAAAGGATAACTTTTAAATTATTTTTGTTATCACTTAAATTATTTATAAAACTATAAAATTATATACATTCATGAATTGTAAATTGTAAATTATAAAAAATATTTTATTAGTGTATTTTTATATTTAGTACTACATCATTTATTTTTCTATAAGTATTAAATACTAATTTTTACCTTAAAAAAATTTTATAAGTAATGACTATTATTTTTATTAAAATTGTTAAAATAAAAATGATTACTAACAGCTTTTTATGTTATATTTTCTAAGTTAAAATTTTACTTAATTAAATTAAGATTAAAGAAATACCATAAGCTCAGATACCAACCTAAAGATCTAATTAATAAAATTAACTTGATAATTAATATGATTAATTCAATAATACATTCATAAAAAAAAATACATAATAACAAGAACCATAAATATAATACGATATGAATATAATTTTTAAATGTAATCTAATTTTCATCATCAATAGTTTTCAATTTAAAAAAATAATATTACCATAAACTATATGTTTTGCCATTTTGTCTACTGTACTTTTATAGCAAATAGTTTCGGACATAATTTCCATACCATTCCTATTTAACGATTCATTTTCTAATTTTGTCAATTTATCAATTGATTCAAATAAATCCTAAAATATAATATACAAACAATATTTTAAAAATTTAAATCAATAATTTATAACTATTAGTGTAAGTCTAATATACTTATATCAAAATCACTTATAATAAAATTCAGAGGACTAGTTTGTTTAAAAATATAATTGGGGACATCGATGTATCAAAATATAAAATATAATATCAAATATATATACTGATTATAATTTAACTAATATATTGTTCACTTTTAAATTAGTTAATAGTTTTAATAAAAACAGAATAACATAAATTTAAGGTACAGTATAACTTGTATTTAAAAAATAATTTTTATCATCTAAAAATGTTTTAGTGTGTAAAAAATAACTATATATTATTAAATTTAATATGTAGTTTTTTTTAATGATTAACATCAAGTTCAATATAAATTTATTATTTTATAACTATTTTAGTTACAAGAAATCTTTTGATTATTAATTATTATATAATATATATATAATTCAAATATATTAAACTTACTCGCAATCTATATGGTTGATTAAAATCCATCCTCATTATTCCATAGTGTGAACAAATAGCTTTAATAAATGTTAATATTGCAACAAAAAAAGTCTCTTTCTTTTTTGGTTGGCCAAGTTGTTCTCTGACAAAATTCCCTTCCAATATACGGTCGTAATTCATAGAAACAGGAATAATCCACGCATCTTCGATAACTTTTTCGCGGTAAGCATCCACTATGATACTCAATAAACCAGCTATTTATGAAAATCAAATTATTCTACATGACTTATGTAATATATTTTAGTATTTAATTAGCACACCTTTAGGAACACCGCACTTTCCACTCCTAGTCCTAGCACCTTCTAAAAAGAACTCAATATGATGTCCATTTTTCATACTGTTTTTAATATAACTACTCAAAACTGACCAATAGAGTTGATCTTTTTTAGTATCTACATGTCTCTTGATGTAAAATGCTCCCAAGAAACTCAACAGCTTACTGAAATTAATAAAAAAGCAATTATTATAATATTTTGTTTTAGAAATAATTATCAAAGACGATTATAAAATAATTAAACCTAATGAAGAAGACTCTGAGGTTCTCTCCGGCCGCTACCAAAGGCGGTTTGATGTTATTCATAGTCAACACTAATCCCAAAAGTATATAGTCCATGTGACTCTTGTGCAACGGTAAATAAATAATGGGTAGGCCACTCTGTTCTGCTTCCCTGACCCTGTTAATTTGAGCGGGCTGTACCACAAGGCTGGTAGCCAACAATGAGACCGTCCGGTACGTGAACCAACCGATTACCCTACAAAACACGATAAATAATTAAACACATATATGGCAGTAGAACGGAAAATAAACAAATTTACTTGTAGACCCAATTTTTCACATTTGCGCTAATGACAGTTAGTATGCGTCTCGCGTTTGCTTGCTGAGCTCTCAACTCTTCGTAAAAACGGCTATCGTCGACGGCCAAATCATCAGCACACGCATTATTTGCGACTATGTTAATTGTTTTAACTACAGCTTCATCTTCTAGAACCTTTACGAATTAAAATTCAATAAATTAATTACCATGCACATAAACATACGTATCGTACTATGTCATGAATACCTACTTCGTCATATATGTATTTGTACTCTTGGCTTTTGAGCTGGTAGAAAAACTTTAAATCGTCGACGAAACAACCGAACATTGACTTTTTAACAGAACCAATGTTATATATGTCCAATAAGTTCTTTAAATTCGACACATTTCTTTCATTATCCCTCGACGTGTTCTGGAAAACAAAAGGACATATATTATAAATGGCACAGATCAGTAGTCGACCACTGGCGATCCGCGCGACTATTTCATACAGCCCACTCTAAAGTGACAATTAATTTGAAAATTTTATAATTTTAGCTATTTTCTACACAGTTATAATTTCATCATTTTAAATTTTATAACTGTTAGATTGTACCTAATATTTTTAAATAATAATTAAAAATTTATAAAATAAGTCAAAAAACATTTAATTCTTGTCATACACGGAACGTGGATCTTTTTAAATTTTGAATACGGGCCCAGAGTTCAAAAGGTTTCCAACCACTGGCATAGATGATATTGTAATACAATGAATAACGCAAATACTAGCAGCGCGGCAGTGATACCGTTTACTTACAGCGTTAAATAATGGGAATTTTAAATATCCACCATTTGAGTCTTATTTATGTAAATACAAAATGGAAACTTACTAATTGTGTTTAAAAAGATCTTTACTTAATACCTATATAAATCACGCTCAACATATGCGAAGGTTGGTTAACCAGTTGTTGTGTTAAATAATATCCGTTTGTAATTTATATTAAAATTTTAAAATACATAGAAATAAAATTTACCAAATTGGAATTTGTACACTGACAATAGACCAATAAGAGAATAATATTGGTAACTAATCAAAAAATATAAATTTTGTTTTAAGCTCGACTGGTCTTATGTCCATAAGTATATATCATAATACTGTTTACTGTTTAGTCCGTATTTATTTATGATGGTTTTTTTTTTTTTTTTTATATATATATAACTAAAAACAATCAAGACTTTAAGCATAAATATATTATTGTGTCTGAAGCTCAAGTCCACAAAGGATGACTCTCATGAAGCTATTCTAAAATTTCAAAACCTCAAATGTTGTAAATGTGTAACATCTTCATTGTAGAGGTGAAATTATACAACAGTTGTAGGGGGGGGGGGGGTATGATAAGATTTTCGTAAACATATTTTTCTCAAAGTTTGTTCGACGGACGATGTAAAAAAAAAAAGAAAAGAACACCGAATACTCACGGGTACACAGATCGGACAACACTTTCCTGTGGATGGACGCAATCTGCTCTGTCTTATGATTCTCCATTCCAAACTTTTAGGTTCACACAGTTGTTTGACGTTGAACACGAACTGTTTGCGGGCTTTCGGGCGGTACCGCTGCAAACATTGCGTATCGTCAGTGTCGGCGGAGTTATTGTTCACCGGCCGTAAGTATATACACCTGCCGTCGTCCTGCGACCCCTTTTCCGATCTGGTGTACTTGTTGTAGAGGTTTTGAAAACCAGTTGATAGCGCTTCGACCATCTCGTCGGATCTTGGGGGGAAAAAAAAAAAACAAAAGGTAAACAATGATAATCGGCACCGGGTACACAAAAAAAAAAAACGTTGGGGCTTTGCCACAGCGACTACACAACGACGACACGCGGTCACGAATGCGACCGCTGTTGCCGTCGTCGACGGGTAATGAAATTCTAAAAGTAGCGTTTGAAAATATTACTACCGCGCGCGATTATGTGTGTCTCTTGTGTGTACGTTACGAGTGTAGCAGGTATACATGGTTCAATGAACTGCAGGCACGCGCGAGCTGCTACTATTTTTTTTTTTTATTTTACGGTATCAAAATTATAAACAGTTTCCTTTTATTCGTCGGTATCTGGTGTATTAGATTTATTTAATATTTGCACGGCACATAGTCTACAGCTATATAACGTATGTACAGGGGATTGGAAACGGTGATTTTCCATCTATGTTTGTCTATTATACTTAATAATACATAACACAACGCACAACACGTGAGATTATTAAGCGCTTTTTCGTTCAAACGTATCGATTGATCTAGTGAAGCGATTATAATTCTAAAAATAGATTTGAACAATATGTCGATAAGTCTGTTCTAGAACGAATTTTCCACATTTTTTATCGTGACGTACCTTTAAAAATTGAAATACTTTTTAGACTTATTTAGACTTTTAACAAGGATAGGTTAGGGGAAGTCGATTTACAATAGATTTGATGATAAATTTAAACTTGTTTTCAGAATTCTTGTCCCTTAAAATCGCTTTACTGCAAATAAATCAGTAAGTGTTAAATGATATAAGTGATATAACGCGTATATTTTTTGTCACACGTGTTAGATAACGACAAAAAATAACCACTCGCCAACGTCTTAATAGAACTTTGAAAAGACTTACAAATAGAAAATATTTTTATTAACTAGTGTAAACGTGTTTTGAACAAATCAATTAGCTAGATTTAGTACGAAGAAAAAAACATCAATATTATAATGCACGAAGATTAACAAATATCTCTTGCTATAGGTACTTAATATAATATTGTATTCTATATTGAAACAAACGTCTTTTGACATCCAGAGAAAAATACTCTTTTAATAGGTACTATACATATACAATTTCCAAATATTACAATTTAAACGTAGTTGTAATTAAGATAACGTTAAATTTAATATTGAAAATTACGAAATTAGATAAAACATTGTGGTCAGCAGTTAGTGTATACATATGTCTATGGTGTATCTAAATATACATTTACAATAAATGGTTATCAATTATTTACAAACTGTATACTTTAATGTTCTATTAAGACATATACATCATCGCGGTACAGTATATGAAATGAACACACAGGTTAGGTTAGTTAAATCAGTACGAATAATGAACACAAAATATTTCTTAACATTTTTTGGTTTTACGATTTGTCAAAAAAAAAATAATATTATATTTATGAAACTTCGTTTACATTTTACTATATATTCAGAACGTTCAGAAATTAATTTGAATTTAAAATCTTTAAAAAATTCAGCTTAAAAGTTCGCACAATCAACCATAATAATATAAAGGAAGACGAAATCAGAAAAATGTAATACTCATTCGGGCCATTTGTTACCTCAAAGTAAAAAGAAAAAAAAACAGAAAAGTATATACGTTTTTCTTCGGGAACTATGATATCATTGAAAGAAAAAAAACACAAACACGTGTAATATAATTCACAAACTAAGTCAAAACTATTAAAATTATATTACTAGGAAGACGATCAAATTACACATTAAACATTTTTTATTGTAACAAAATATACTCATTGGTTAAAGGTATTACGCTTAAATATATAGCGTTATTATAAGGTCCACATTATACGATATCAACGTTGCGACTGCAGCTGCTGCGATTTGACGGTCAACAAAAACGCCATAATATATATATCACTATATTAAATGGTCCGCTGCAGCTATAATGATCGACGCATGAAGGCTAGATTAATCAGCCTTCGTGGTGCAGATGTGTATAAATTAAAGATCGAGTTTTAGTCGTTGTGTACGGTACAACTGCCGTTAACAACAATATCGTCACACCGAAATCGGTGAAAGTAATAATGCAAAATAATATAAACACTACGAATAGTGGATAACGCTATACGAATATTAAAATAAAAATTAAGAAATAACTATTGGATCACCCGACCGAACATTATGCAGGTAATTGGTGGTACATTGATAGGTATAACAAGTTAATGTTCGATTAAATCCCACTCGACAAACACGAGGTTTTGAAGAATACTTTCGAATGCAAAAAAAAAAAAAAAATTATCATTGCTTTTAAATATTTAACCCGAATTTGTTACGAGTAAATATTTTTTTTTACGATAAATCATAGGTAGATGGCCAATATACAAAAATAGTTGAATGTTCAATAACCTTTTTTAATAATGGTACTCGAATACTTTACAACACTGATGTGGCATATATAAGTATGACACAAATCCCACAAACATTTAATTAACATAATAATATACGAGTAGCTACAGTGTAAATAATACATGGTATTTTATGCAGGTATACATGCTAAATAGTAAATTGTATCATAATATATGACTTACGAGACTGCAATCTCTCGAACTGCAGCATATATTTTAGTAGTACCGTTTTATAATTTAGTTTTTAAAAACGAATAACAATTTTATACTGAAATTTAAAATGTCTAGTGTTATTAATTAATATATATTTATCAGTATTTACTATAATGTGACTCATATACAAATATACAAATATATTATAAATTTAATCTCATTGATTTTTAACAACAGTAATATATAATATTATGTCAATAACAATGGCTATTAATAATTAAGTATTGGGCAAAATAAAAAAATACTAGTGTAATAATATGTTACAATATATAAATGTACATAAAATAAAATAAGATTGTTTTATCGTATAGTGACATATATTATCAGTTATCGTGCATTAGGTTCAAACGAATAATTTATTTAAGTATAATCGTTAAAAATAACTACGACAATTTAAATATGATATAAAAATCTAATTAAACTAATATCACAAAATTAAAATTTAATATGATTTTTTTCATCAGTAATTAATAATACCAGTATATAGTTTTCTTAGTATAATATTACTATTTCAATGTAATAAAAAACAACAAAAAAAACAAAAACATTTAATTATACACAAATAATGAATTTAATTTTAAATTAGTAATAATTGGTTTATTGATATAACGTGGATAGTAGTTTTTAAACTGTATACTATGAGCTCATTCAGCTCATTCCAAGACTTTATTTTCTTTTTTACGACATAATATACGAAAATACAGATATATTACTTACAATTATTTATTGTAATTTCACTTTGTAAATTTTAATTTCAATTTTACAAAAATATTTTTTCTTTTTATACAATAATAAGTATAATGCTCACTTTATACATTATCAAGACTTATGAGAACATTAAATGACCTTGCATGTGTTGTTTTCGCCATACAAACATACAGCATAGCAAATTTGCATTCAGTTGAACTTATTGTTTATTCATAACTTTAGCAATAGAGTAAATTAACATGTTATTAAGTTAAAAATGATCTGTTTTGACATTTTAATTTTTTAGCTCGATATGATCATTTTTAACTCGAATATTTATAATACACATATTATTTTATGAATTATCAGTATATTAAAACGCACAAATATTCAGAATTTTGAAATATTCATAACCGTTTTAAAATTAAAGTTTAAAAAAAAATAAGATTCACTAATATTCTTACTGTTAAATTTTATGATAGATAAATCCACTGTAATATTAAGCTACAACCATATAACATCCTCTTAATGGACTAAATTTTACTATTAAAAATAAAAATCGTTTACAGACTTTCTGTTTAACCGATACTAACATTAACCAAGATGAAAGAATTGTTCAAAACGAACTTTAAATTGTTTATCAGTGAGAACTAGTGTTCATTTTGCATTTATACTCCTCGTTTTATTCACCATAGCAAAGCATCACGACTAAATTTGGTTCAAAATAGAGCACTACTACTAACTAAAAGTTTGGAAATAGCTGATATAACGTATCAAGTACATAAAATATTTCTTTATCTTCAATAACAGCCTTATTCGTATTTTTGATATTATTATTTTGATATAAATATAATAGAAGAACACGATTTGATAATTTAATGTATTTCATAAAAATATAAAAACATACCTACACGATAGTAAAACCCTCTACAGCGCTCTACTACTAGAAAACATTTATAACTCCAAATTAAGTTTCGCATGATTATGACATCATTGCATTCCAAAAAGATCAATATTGTTTTACATACAATGTATTATATTATTTAAAGATGCTCTAAAATCATTTAGTTGCTGCTTATTAGTAGTGGCTAAGTCATATTTTCCTCTGCCAGGAAAATATCCAACAGTAATTTTAGTTGCCAAATATAATAAAATAAGCCTCTAGGTCTCTAGGAGGCTGCCTTATAATAATCTTTCCACTTATACTGACATATTAGTATTTTACCATTCACCAAAATTCTCGAAATAGTAATTCTAAAAAAAATATATTACTTACAGAAATATCATACCAATTACTTAATTTCAATTTTGCGCCTCTTAGCCAAAAATATAGATTATAATGAGTTATTTTCTATTCTCTTATACTGAGAAACACAATTACAGTATACATATTTTCTGTTGTAACATATAGATATTTTTTAGACGGATTTGTCATTTTACGTTTATTTTGTATTATCACGGTATGGTATAAGTGTAAACTAACAAGTGTCTATTACTCTAGTGACTAGAGTATATCGATTAAAAAAAACTTCAACTCCTCTCGAAGCTCAAATAAACGTGCCAACATATTTCCTTTCGAAAGCCATCTTGTTTCAGTATGAAATAGTAATGTTTCATGCTCAGCGTTCATATTTGCACATAATTTTTGAAAAACACGTGTATTGAGTGCACTATTTTTAACAGCATTCACTAACTGTATGGATATTT